TGTCCATGTGTTCATTAGCACCCCAACAAAACTATAACTTTTTTTCTGGGGAGCTTTGGAAATGTACAGACATGCTTTTGCTGACTAGCGCACCATGGGAAATGATGTTATCTATTCTTTTGCTTGCAGCATACTTCTGTACCAACTATATCCTTAGTAGGATGATACCCTACATGCTCCTGAATGCCTTTTATCCATGATGGTTCTCAGCATGTGATATTGTGACCTGCAACTGATTCTTGAGTTGCAAAGGATGCTGTGGAGTGTTGGTCAATATTCTTTATTTCTTGAGTTATTGCTACATTAGTAGCCAAAATACTGCTTGAGCATAGGATCGTGATTGTTATATTGGTGTTAGCTCTATTATGTGGCTACTCAGAATATTGGAATTTTAGGACAATTCTTTAGAAAAGTTAAGACCAACTATGGTCAACAGAAACTGTGCCCATGCAATCACATTCACAGTTGCAGTTTAGGTATTTCAAACTTAAGTCCCATTAAGAAACTGAAAATATGGAAACCTGGCATTGTTTTGAATAGTTATTCTGGAATATCTACACAAAGTGCCAGAGAAATAATACTGAAGTGTTTGCCAACACAGAAATTAAGTTTTATGACCACATGCTGCAATTGTGGTCATTACTCTCTTCCTTGGAATTATATGCATGAAAAATAAACTTGTAGTCCTAAATTCTGTGTACTGTCAAAGGTGGGGAGGGAAACATATTGAATCATAATAAGGACTGTCATATAGTGTCATGCTATAAACTGGTGTTTGGCTAGATTGATGAGAGAGTATTAGCTATACTAATGTGGAAAATCATTCACTAATTTGCAAGAGAGTTCTTGGAGGCTGAGGATCAAAAACTGTTTATGCTTAGAAGTTTATGCTTTTGTTTATGCTTAGAAGTACCTCTGAAAAAATCATTAATTTGAAATATGATGAGCCTAATTCTAACATTCTTTGCTCAGCAGCTCTAAATGCCACATTGGAAGAAAGG